AGCCGATCAAAATCCGGTAAGTTTGGTTGTGGCGCTGTTTCATTATTGTTGAAGTGAATATTTGAAAGTAATTGCTCAAAACGATTTCTAGGCATTTTGTGTCTTATACTGGTAACAAATAAGTAATTTCTGCTCCAATAGTCGCGTAATCGTGGTGCTTTTAGCAAGCCCATCCATATAGTTACCCCAAACAATATTTCCATTTCTTTTCTTGTAGTTGGTATCCAACGTTTACATTTAGATTTGGCTACAACAGGTCGCCATTTATCTGTTGATCTGCGTATAAATTTGTTTGACCAACTATATAATCGATCAAGTCATCAGTCACAAATAGTTTGTAAAAGAAATACGGAGTTTCTGTAAAATTGTTGTAATATTCCAGTCTTACCCCAAGATTATGAATACTCTGCGGAAAATTTTTCAACTTGGAAGTGTCAACTTCGCTCCATAATAAATCTGAACTCTCCCCTTCATCTTCTTCTGCGACAACAGCAAATGCAGAAATTAGTTTCTATTGTCTGCTGCATCAGGTCATCCTAAACAGAAATTAGGTATGACTTTCCAGAATGAATATAAAAGTTTAGTAAAACTTACCTCATTTTCAACGGCCCGTAACGCTATTTTTGGTATACAGCTAGGCCCTAGCACTGCAAGATTGCGTTCGTCTGGTACTTCACTGATGCCATGTAATTTTCTCAGTTTCCTAGGAATTCTTCGAAAGAATCCGAGGTTTCTGTGTCACTGGGTATATAATCATCTAATGATCCAGAATTTGCATAGGAGGCGTCCACCCCTACGTCTTCATCTGACATAAGCTCTTCCTATAAACTTACAAGTCTTTTCTGTTCTTTTTCATAGGAATCCAACGAAAAAATTCGTGTAATCTAATATTTTATAGTACACTCATACAATAACCGTACGCAAACAGCACCGAACAAAGAATGACTCAGAATATAACGTCAAATACTTCCGTCGCTTCATACAAGAATGAACAAGTTTGAGGCATCACGTAAATGCCACGCTGTCCAGACAAACAAATTTATAGTTCTCGGACAGCGAGGCATCAATGTGATGCCTCAAAATGTTGTGCAATAACTCAATTGTCAAATATTGTTTTTGAAAATGAATCAGAAATGCGGAAAGGCATCCACGACTCTCGTCTTATTTACAAAAAATAAAATGCTGACCAATGGACAAGAAAAAAATTATAACACCGGTGCTGAACGTGTTAAAATATATTTTTCGGAAACTAAACACTACGGGCTGGAAACGCAACGCACATGATAATATGCCACGACCTTAAAGGTTAAACGAGCTAGAATTACGGTAGATTTAAGATAGACAAAAATTGCACCAAAAATTCAAGGGTTAAAAAAAATATTTTACGTTTTTCTCATATCCAATCTTTACTTTAGAAACTATATTTCTAAAGCAGTTTAAAATCAGGAGGTGGAAACGGCAACTAATGAATTTGTTTTATAAATTTTGCGGTGTATTCAATGAAACAGTGTCAGCAGATCAATTTATTATTAATCTAAAGTAAAACAAACCGCACAAAGAAAGGTAAAATCAATAAAGGAACCGTAAATAAAGGTCACTGACTTGCAAAAGATCGTGTTACAACGAATAGATTTCACGTTTGATAAACACGATAGGGTAGTTACACCCGTCAATCTTAAAGCCATTAGTTCCCGATCCCTTGAAAAATGGGAAATAAACGTATTATAATTGTGACATATCAATACAGAAGTTAAATAAGCCTTGACAGCACATTTTTTATATTTTCGAACGAATCAATGATTAAAGTTTGTTTTAATTTTCGACTAGGTTTTTGTGCTTAAGACTGCCTGAAAAAACGCAGTTATTCATCCAAATTATTGACTTCCTTATAGCACTAAATATTCTGATGTATACAGCTTGTGAGTCCATAACAGCTACGAACAGCTTCAAACATTTATTTAACCTTATCGCATAGAGGGTCATATAAGGCACAATACTTAGTTTTAGAGGTAACCATTAGAGATCGAATCTTATTTTAAAGTATTTATGCATGGCATGTCCATATAGAGCACATATTTCATATAACTTTCAATAAAGCAAAGCTTTATTACATAACTCCCAAACATACATAACTCTCAATTCAGCAAAGTTTATTAAAAATTTGCAAATGGCCGCGATCTGACAGCTGTTCATAAGAATTGTGCAATTTGATATTCAATTATCGAAGTTTCTAGTGAATATTTTTGTATAAAAAATATCGACATCAAGGATAGACCTTAAAGAAAGTATTTCTGTATGTATGTAAAAATATGCTTGTGCCATATATGCCACAATATGCACTGTCGCGCAAACTCTCTTTTGATACATGGCACAATATGTGTTCTGAACTAGTTATTATATTTTTTTATTTTAAATAATTGGATCCAAAAAAGTTTATGTTTATGGTGAAACTCTTGTGGTAGTGGACATACTAGATGGTAGAGAAGACGAAGGACGTAATCTAATAAAGAATAGAAATAAAAATCATCCAACTTGGAAAGAAGGAAATTTGGTAACATCAGATGATGATACAAGATTTCTTGGTTCTACTGACCTACCACCTAAGTTGCAACAAGCCAAATCCCCTTACGTATTTTTTAAATTGTTTTTAACAAATGAAATGATCAAAAATATAGCTTATCAAACTATATTATATTCAGTGGAAAAAATACTTCAAAAACCTTTACCAATTTCTGAAAATGAACTGGAACAGTTCTTAGGAACATGTATTTATATGTCAATAGTGCAATTGCTAAACTCTAAAAGTTATTGGAACTCCAGCCTGAATCATCGATTGATCTCAGATCTCAGCCGAAAAAGAAATTTTTAGTCATAGATGAGCAGATAATTACAACAAAGGCGCGTTCATCTATAAAACAATATCATCTGTAAAAACCCCACAAATGGGGATATAAGGCGTTTGTTCTTAGTGGTGTCAGCAGATTTTCCTACGATTATGAAATCCGATTTGTAGGAAGCCAAACTAATTTTGTACCCGATGATTTTCCTGATCTAGTTTAAATGTGGTTCTTCGGCTAACACAAACAGTACCAAGGCTTATAAATTACAAAATATTATTTGATAATTGGTTCAACAGCGTGCCATTGCAAATTTATCTAACGAAACAGGATGTTACCACTAGTTAGTATGTTAGTTAGAATAAACAGAGTGTCAAACAGTAATATGTCAAAAGAGGCTGAATTAAAAAAGAACCGCCGAGGAGCTACGGCAGAGAAAGTCACCACAATTGATGGTACAAAAATATCTGTTGTTACATGGTATGACTACAAATTAGTAAACATTTTATCAACATATGCTGGGAGTATGCCAACAGTTGAAATTAAACGGTTTTCTAAAAAGGATAAGACATATAATGGTTCCATGTCCAAATGGTGTAACGATCTACAAGTATATGTGGGGAGTAGATTTCATAAATTCAATGTTGGGATATTATAGGATCAAACTCAGATCCAAAAATATACAGGTATATTTTTCATATATTAATTTGATGACTGTCAGTGTCAATGCATGGATTCTATGGAGAAGAAGTGACAATGAGCATAATAACTAAGCTCTGGCAGATTTCAAAAGAGCAGTTGAAAAGGGGTCGTCCGTTGGAGCTATGGAAAATTTACAAAACAAGAAAAGAAGGGGACCAGCAACCGATATTCCAAGGCAAGATGTACGAACAGATGGATATGGTCATCTTCCATTATGGTGTAGTGCAAGGAAAGATGCAAATATTCTTGTGGTTCAAAAAGCTCCATAAAATGCGAGATGTGTAATGTTTTTCTTTGCTTAAACAAAGATAGAAATTGTTTTTACAACTTTCACACTGAATAATTATTATAATTAGAAAGTAATAAACGTCATGTTTTTTATTAATTTTATTTGTTGAATATTGTTTAATGCATACTGTGCCATATGTGCACACATAATAAATTTAAAATAAAAGCTAACCAAGTAGGACTTTTTTATTGTACCGTACTCTTGAAGTCAAGTCTGTAATCATAGATTTTGCACGATGTACAGTAAGTACAGTAAAAAATAAAAAATCATGCAGTACGGGGTTAAGCCACTTAGAAATATAACAAGATAAAAAACAAAAAGTATAAATTCGAAGATTTCTAGGTGTTCGAAAGCAAAATTCAGATTTTTGCCTAATTCTGTGCCTTCTGTAATCTTCAAAGCAAGCAGAGGGTGAATGGGCCGACGTTTTATTCCCATATGACGCCATATGAGTAATGAAGTTACTTGATTATTACTTCCTTAGACGGATTTAGATTTGATTTGACGTTCACGGCTTTTGCCCAGTTGCTCTTATGAGTCCTGCTAGGACGAAATGGATATAAGCGAATTGTAGAGGCACCATACGTGAAATCAAATCTTAACTGTCTTTTCTACAACAAGATAACTTTGCTATGAGTCCCACTGGAGGAATCACTTGCCACAATTCAAATATTTTGGATATACCATGAAGAGATTGATCATTTAAGGTAAGATAGAAGACTGGAGACCACAAGGAAGTTCTCCAACAAGATGGATTGACCAGATCACAGGAAGTTGCAAAAGATCTATGCAGGATGTAATGACCAGAGGCATAAGTCTATGGAGCCTGACCATATACTCCTTACCGTAGTGTCTTATATGACACAAAAAATGTGCCGTTTTGCTTTTCACCATGCATCACGAACACGAAAACAATTATAAATTATAAAAGCAGTGTTGATGGCCTGGATAAACTAGTGCGGAAATATTCGCAATATATCTATTTTTTTATTATATTATATATTATATCGAATTTTTTATTCCCAAAGAGCCTAAGGGAGAACATGAACCAATTACGTATATCAACGGTGACCTCAGATGCTAAATTATAAATATTAACACTTTTACACATTTCTACTGAAACGGATGTAGACTATGGTTACCAATTTATCAATACTTAAGCAGTAACTTACATTTTTTGTCCTATTTTTAGTAGTTTCTTCATCTGATGATGTCTGAAACAAAACAATAAAAAATTAGGTCATATTAGTTCACTCAGTAAATATCGGACTTAACTAATAAACAATAACTCTGATTTTTGTTAAAAATACAAAATGTTAAAATTTTTCGTTCTTGTTCCAAAAGATCAATGTTTTACAGGGGTGTAAAGCTAGTTCGCGTCCGTAGTGGAACACTACGTGCACCCTGGGTAACGCTAAATGAACTAGCACAAAAGGCGCCAGACAATCTTGAATCTCCTGGCAATTCAAATATCACAGAAAATCTTTCCAGAAATGACACTTGTAAACGGACCTTATCAGGACCATTTGACCAAAGAACTCGGACCAAGAATACGAGTTTGCCATTTTAACATAGAGGGCATAAGCAGGGCAAAATGTCAAATCCTGCACAGACTTTTAAAAGACAACGAAGTTGACCTAGTAGCACTTCAGGAAACGCACACAGAAAACGAAGGTCAACTAAGCTCAAGAGGAAAAATACCCGGCTATGATATTTTGGGTCTGTCTGTCGGATATGTCTCCCTGCTCGAATATTAGCACGCGGTACTTGTCAGTTGAAACGACACAGACCAACTATGTAGTCCCTAAAGTAATTTTAAAAATATATCCATTGTCATCAACCTGGAGTCAAAACATTATTAAATGTAAAATTTGGAATACTGGTAATCCATATATGGAGGTCTTATAGACAACTTTACTGTTAGCAACAAATACACAAGGCACTGAGGATGATCTGTTCAGATTGAAAACGTTCTGCCAGAATTTAAATGTTGACACTTTTATAAAGTTTTAAATATTTGTTTGTTTTTATACCACAATACACATGTGTAAAGTGTTTTAACTTCTGTGTTTTTTAAAAGATGGTATACATCCAATTACGGGGTTTTTTCCCATAATTTGATATTTCTAGCGTCGTTAAAAGCCTCTAGCAAGAGGCTTTGAATTTGCGGTTCACCTAATTTGCTATCAGAGAGACGTCTCTCGACTTCTCGTTACTTCATATATGTATATATATATATATATATATATATATATATATATATATATATATATATTATATATATATATATATATATATTTATATATATATATATTTATATATATATTTATATATATATATATATATATATATATATATATATATATATAATTTTGGATGTAAAACCTCATATAAAACCTAAAACAATTATTGTTAGATAATACTTAGTTGCAGTGACTATCTTAATAAATTCTCATTTCTCTGCTTTACTGATAATTCGTTTTCTGTTATCAAAATTGATAGTTTCAAGCAATAACTTCCTTTGAATTCTTATTAAAACGATTTTGTAGACTGCATTTATTCTATTACATACACATTATACAAATTTATATGATTTCCCGTAATGATCTACTTCGATATAATAACAAAATTAATAACGAATAATGAAAGTCAATTGTAGAGTTTTTCCACTTAATTTCGTCGTATGATGAACGAGCATTTCCTGATATAGGGTCTAAGTAGTAAACATAAATACTGGAAAAATACTGGAGTGAAATTCTTGAAATAGCTAATCATGTACTTAAAATGCATTACCTCCCATCGCTGAGAAAGAAATATGGATCCACCTAGTTACTGGTCGATGGGAAACCCATTGGCAATGATAAGGACACTTCATATCGAGAAATAATAATATTATAATACACTCAGAAACAAAAGACACCTCGCAAAATGGAGTAGGAATCGTAATAAATAAAAATCTGTCCGATGCTATTAAAGAGTACATAACAATCAATGACAGAATCGCCATGATCAAGCTTGCATGAATGATGAGAACATAGATACATGTTCTATGTTTTACATATGATCTGCCTATTTGGAGCAGATTATAAACACCTTACCAAACCGCGAAATAACCATCATAAAGGGCAAAAGTAAGTAAACGGCAAAAAAACGTAAGGTTTGAGAAGGAAGCAGAGAAGATGGGGCTCCAAATCAACGAAAACAAGACGAAATATATGTATATGAGCCGCAATAACCAAAGCAGAGACAGAATCGGTCAGAACATTACCATCGATGACTTTAACTTTGAGCGCGTTAGAGAATTCAAGTATCTTGGAACAACAATAACTGAAGACAATAACGGATCACAAGAAATAAACAACAGGATTCAGGCCGGCAACAGATGTATTTTTGCCCTCCAAAACCTTATAAAATCAAAACAACTAACACGACGTACGAAGATACAGGTCTATAAAACAATCATACGACCCGTTGTGATGTATGGAAGCGAAACGTGGACGATAACAAAGGCAAATGAAGAGAGACTACGTGTTTGGGAAAGAAAAATCCTAAGGAAGATCTTTGGTCCGGTGCTTGATGAAGCATCAGGGGAATATAGGATAAGAACTAATAAAGAGCTTGAAGAACTTTACCCAGACGCCAACATCATAAAAGAAATAAAGTCCAGAAGACTCCAATGGGCAGGACACCTCAGAAGACATTCTGACGAACGAACAGTAAGACTGGTGTGGGAGGAAGTCCCAACTGGAAGGAGACCACGCGGACGCCCTCGTCTCCGGTGGCGAGATAATATAGCAGGAGACCTAAGCACTATGGGCGTGGAGAATTGGATGGAGGTTGCTCAAGACAAAAAACAGTGGAGGCATGTTGTCGAGTCGGCTAAAACCCACGAAGGGTTGTAACGCCACGGAGTAAGAGTAAGTAAGGGCAAAAGTGAAGAAAGAACGACGATGAGAACGTGAAAAATGTATTAGCAAAATACAGCATTGGAAACAGGAATAACAGAGGAAAATGTCTCATACAGTTTATCACAGACAACAGCTTGTTTATCGCTAATACTAGGTTTCAAACTGGAAAATCTGTTTATATAATGAAGAATGTAAACTTGATGATAATGACCTTAAAATAATTGATAAACATTGATAAAACTTACTATAAAATATGTAAGTCTTAATTAATGTTATAATTAATGATGCAATAATGTTACATCTGCTTGACATATTTTAAAAACTTATCTACATTTAATAACTATGGAATATTTAATAAATATTTAGATTAAATGGATTTTATGTCACTGAAAATGGGAGAAAAAAATGCAAATGCAATGATACAAAAATAAAAGAACTATTTATTTTCTTGAAATGAAGTTGAATGCTCGAATAAATGAACTTTGAAAAATAAGGCTATTATCGAACACAAGTTAATTAAATCTAGCCCAAGTACTTTCGCTCAAAATAGCATCTTCAGGGGCATTTCGTCAAATATAAACTATCCGGCAAGCGTAGAATGTGGAAACATTAATAATGACATAAAATTGTACAAAACACTACACTAAAACGAGGACAAACAGTTTAAAATTACTTTAAAGATTCTACGCTACATTCTTTGTTTGGAGGGATTATCCCTCCAGATACCATTCCAGTGGCGGAATGCAAGAAAGTTGCCTATGACATGGCAGTAATAAATAAAATAAAAATTTCATGGGACGCTAACAAATCGCAGGACAAGATTGGTACTATGGGTTTTTGAAAAGAAATCCATCGCTCAGTCAAAGAACGCCTAACGAATGTAGTTTGTCCCGAGCTACTTCTTTCACAAGGGCAAATGCAGAAGTGTTTTTTGACAATTTGCAAGCGATGTACAAAAATCCTTACTTTGCAGATGGAACATGAGTATTTAACCTGGACGAAACAGGCACATGCACAGTTTAGAAACCTCAAAAAATAATTGCTGAAAAAGGAGCTAAGCAGGTCAGCAAGTGCACTACTGTTGAAAAGGGTACTAATGTGAAAACCTGTTGTTTGTGGTACTGTGGTACAATGGTACTCTTGTTTTGGCTGAATAATTGCTAAAAAAGGAGCTAAGCATGTCAGCAAGTACACTAGTGTTGAGAAGGGTACTAATGTGACCACCTGTTGTTTGTGGTACTGTGGTACACTGGTACTCTTGGTTTGGCAAATCCATCAGGCTGGATAACTTCTGTACTATTTGTTGAAATTAAACATTTCATCCACCACTCTGATATTATGTGATAATCACAAAAGTCATTTACCATTGGAGGCACTTAATTTGTGCAAAAAAAAATGAAGTGACTAGGTTAACTTTTCCACCACATTCCACCAATAAAATACAACCGATCGACGTTGGGGTGTTTAAGCCATTCAAAGCATATTACAATGCTGCTATAGATACTTGGATGATGCAGCATCCTGGACAAACAGCTAATATATACAATGTTGCTGGTTTTGTAAAGATTGCTCACAAGAGAGGAATGACTCCATCAAACATCACTGCTGCTTTTAAGAACACAGGGATTTACCCATATGACAGACATTTTTTCACTGATGCCGATTATTTATGTAATTACGTTACCGATCGACCAATGGGGGACTTGTCAGCTACTTGTCAGGTAAAAGAGGATCCACCGTCAGGTGATGCTCCTGTTGAAAAAATCATCAACTCAACAATGGAAATTGATGCAGATGACAACTCCTCAAGTTTCAATAACAACTCTCAAGACCCCAGTACTTCTACTACCATCAGTAATGTAAAAATTTCCTTATGCCGACTTGAACATTTTAGAGGATTTCCCAAGGCAGGGAGTAGGAAAAACAATAGAAACAGCTGAGCAAGAGGAAAAATTATGATAGCAACCAGTAGTCCAGAAATGAATGCAATTGCCAATAAAACGGCGGTACCAATACCAAAAAGAGAAATGGTCAAACGGAAAATAACACATTTTAATGAGGACACCAGGAAGAAATCCAAAAAAATCGAAGAGGTTGACCTGAAGAAGAAGATGTAGTCAATTATATTGAGACTGATGCTTGGACGCTATTGAAGACATTTTCATTCTTAATGAAGACAAATTCATAGGTCTGGATAGGTCACCCATTAAAAATAATTATGTACTGGTGGAATATAAATTAAACAGCCATAATAGTCAGTTCTATGTTGGACTTATGATAGAAAAGAATACGAGTGGAGATTTCGAAGTGAAGGTTTTCAGAAAAAAAGGACATAACACCTTTGTAAAGCCACCAGTTCCAGATGTATTAATAGTCACTGAGAATAGCAGTAAGATGATTTTGGAGAACCCTGTTTTTGCAGGATCAACACAACGCCAAACACAATTTATTTCTTTTGGAATCGACTTCACTAATTTAAACATTGGCTAACTACTATATTCAATGTTTGAATTATTTTTTCATTGATTATTTATTTTTATAATTATTTTTTTATTATTTGAATAAAACTATAACATAGCACTTTTATTGGGCATACTTCTAAAGCAATCTCATTGGTTTATTGTACAACTTGGTTGTTTTTATATACATATGTTACATTGTACCCCTATGTATGTTACTTTTATTAAGCCTTGAATTAATTATTACTTTAAATAGTTTTTAAAATAAGGTTTTTGATGCTACTTTAAGTCTGTTTCTAGTACCAAAGGGTATCTTTTAAAACAAATTTTAAACTGATATACCTGCATGCAAAAACAGGAAAAATAAATAACAAATTTGTGTTTCATTATGCCCAGTGCTCCTCTACATAGGTTTCTTTATTTTAATTATGTTGGGTTTATTTTTGTATGTACATTTTTTTTTCAATTTAGTTTAATAAAATGTGTAACCTGCATCTAGTCTTATTATGTTTATTAAAGTTTTAGTCATTTTGTATGAATAATACTTATTACAAGGCTCAAAGTTCTTCAATCTTGAATCCATCAATATCAACAGTAGTAAAAACAAAGTCATTAATTAATTCTGAAAACCATCTTTAACACTGAATAAACAAAATGGTCAAGATGATGGAACCCTGAGGTAAATTTCTATTCAGTTTTTTAGATCATAACCCATATATTTGCTTATATGCAAGGAAAACACTTTTATATCTAATTACTAAAATTTAAATATTTATTTACTGTAGATATTATTGGACAACCTGTTGTTTCCAAAAATTGGAAAATCGTGTTCATAACTGTATACCCAATTTTCATAATGTAATAAATTAAATAAAAGAGAAGTATAAAAATATCCTTTGTAATATTAGCCATTTTCTAATTCTTAGAAGGGAGGAAGTTTGGCTCATATGTTTTGGTTTATTTCCTATTGGAGTGATGACAGTATGCAAAGATACAAGATGACAATATAAAAAAGTCCTTTTTATTTCGATCATTTTCATTTAGTGTAGTTGTGTTAGTTCCCTCCAAGAGTTTCATAGTTTTTACATATTTTTTAGATTCTTATTTAACATTATCTCATTCTTATTATCTAAGTAATTGAGCCCTTAAAGTATCCCAATGTTTTACATAAACATGGCATGATTCATGGCAATTTATTGTAATATATGTTTTCAGTCTTGTATTTAATTCTAATTCAATTGATGCTACAAATAAGTACTCATAGATTTTGCCCTTATTTATATATTTTTCTTGCAGATATTAAGTGAAAAGATGCCATAGCTTTATGAAAGCAAAAAATGGCTCTTCTACTTTTCTATCTTTTTTCCATTTTCAGAATTTAGACTAGAAGAGTATGTTCTGTTTTCAAAATTAACTTTTTCTGGGTCTTCCTGTTTTATTGACCTTTGTGATTTTGTAGAATAAAGCTACTCTAGGTATTCTTTCATGTAGCATTCTGTATAAATTTTGTTTCCAGTTCTCTCAAGACTTTTTTGTATCTTCAACATTAAGTTCATTTCTTATTTCTTCAATGTAAAAGTAATCTGTTAAGCATTGAGATTGTTTTAAACACACTTTAGTAATTTCATTTCCATAGCTTTATCTCTTTTGTTGCATTTTTTATGATTATCCGATTTTCACTTTAAGTCACTACTGATTTAACTTCCACATATTTAAAATTTATGTTGGGCATGTCTTTATAATAACCCTAAATTGTACTATTGTATAACTATACTACTTGAATAATCAGTCTGTCCTTGTATTTTATTAGTATTTTAGTTAATACATGCTCTTTATCCAATTTTTGTGCAACACTTTTTCTAGTGTTTCTGATATGTTTATTGTTATAATAACTAGTTACAGCTAGACATATCTCTCAACAAATCTCCTATTATTTACTCCTTTTGTATTTATGTAAACAATTAGTTTTTTAACCCTGTAGTATCTGTGAGTCTTTTCAAGCTTGTTTGCATATCCAAAACCAAAAATCATTCCTCCTGTGTGATTTTTTTCATCTTGCCTGGATCTATCTAAAACTTAGCTAAGTACTTGCAAATACTTCAGTTAATTTGTTATAATTAATTAGCTGCGATAGTATAATTTACATAAATAAAGTAATTTAAAAAATAGTAAATAAACTGATAAGCCAATGTTTCACTAAGCAAAAGATGTAATACTGAATAACTTACGACATGTCCATTGGAAATGACCGACTTTTTATATCCATTCTTGTATTTTATGTGTTCCTAAAAAAGAACAATCAATTAGAACACTTCAAACGTATTTAAAAGTAGCCAAAACTCACATTCAACCCAGTTTCTCCATTGGCACGATGTTCTTTCGTATTGTTTTTATTTGAAAAATCGACGCCGGATATAAATTCTGTTTGAATATAATCACCCGCACCGTTCTCCAGTCTGGTAGCCGACATTGTACTGAAGTTTTTGGGCACAACACACGAACAAATCAAAGAAAACTCCCAACCCAAACCTAATCTAACCTGTATTTTCGTATCGGATAGCCGACACAGCAGTCACACCACCTTGCTGAATAAGCGCATGCCTGGAGGTCTGCGGTTCGTGTCTGTGAACAGTAGATTCGCAGTTACCGCATCGAAAGGGTTCCTTGCATACGAGGTTGCTCCAAATAGTTCTGAAAATGCAGAAGCTGTATTTCTCTAAATGCTAAACTTATTTACTAAAATATGATTTTCTTTATTTGAGTAGCACGTTACAGTTGAAGTTTCTACTTAATTCACATAAGGTAGATCTCTTGTTATATCCGTACAAGCCTTTCTGTCTACATCATTTGCGTATGTGAGGAAACTCTTCTAAATAGCTGTGGATGACGTTTATTATTTAATTTGACACTCATCTTGTCTCTAGTTTTTTTGATAGTCCAGTATTTACTATCTTTAATCATTATTTATTTATTTCGCAATTTTTCAAGTGTACCTACCTAAATCGAAAGGAAAAATAAACTTTCTTTATCTAAAATTGTCGAGAATGCCTGTTAATTATCTTCTTGATGATAAAAAAGAGAAAACTCGAATATCTGGGGCATATAATGAGAGAAAGCAGATACAGGATAATGCAGTTGATTGGAAAAATGTTTTGTTTAGTGATCAGTTCAGGATGGTTCTTTATTGCTCAGATGGTCGTATCAAAACATAAAGAAGACGTGGGGAACGATATGCTGCTTTTGTTCGACGAGTACGTGTTGTTTTTGCAGGAGTTCGGTAATGTTTTGGTCGGGCATTTTATTCGAGGGCTGTACTGATCTCGTATTTATTAATAGAAAAGAGTTGAATGCACACCGATACATTACCGAAATTTTACACGAGCATGTAATGCCTTTTGCTGGGTTTGTCGGCGAAAACTTTATTTTTATGCAAGACAAGCACAGCCACACGTAGCCAGGATGGTAACGCAATACCTGGAAACTGTCTGTGTGCCAAAAATGAACTGGCCGGCTCAAAGTCCAGATTTAAACCCGATTGAACATGTTTAGGACCAACTCAAACGAAGGGTAAGAAACAGAATACCTGCTCGAATAAATCGTAAGCAGCTTCAGTTAGCGCTCATGGAAGAATGGGAATCTTTTCCTCGCAACGATCCAGAATTTGATCAATTCAATGCCAAATCGAATGAGGAATGTAATTCACAATAGAGTTGGTAATACATAGTATTAATAATCACGGCTTAATTGTAATTTTAGAGAGATCAGAAGAACTGTACAATGTTAATTTTTATATTTCAATAAAATCATTATTTTGGAAGAAGTTATTTTTTGATATTTGTTATTTAAAAATGATTGAATTCGGCTTTATAGAACCATAGCTAGTCAATGTAATTGCCAGGTATTTTATTTCAAATACTTGTTCAATACCTACTGATGCCATAAATTTCTATTTTACATCTGGTTGGTTGGGTAACATCATATTATATTCTTTGCTCTTATGTTAAATTTGTGAACCAGTCTTTGCAGACTATCTTCACCTTGGGCTGTCAATATTGCGTCGTTTGCGTAACAGACTATTTTTATTTCTTTGTGTCCCATTATGTATCTTCTTTCGTTGTTAACGCTTTTGATGATTTCATCCATGATCAAACTGAAGAGCATGGGGCTCAATGAAGCCACTTGTCTTATTCCGCTGCCTATTTCTATAGGTTCTATAAGTTATCCATCTATTCTGACTTTCATTTTGTTGTTTTGGTAGATGTTTTCGATATTTTTTTATGTTTTTAGTTTTTAGGGGAGCTTCTCTATTACACAGAAGATGGATTACATCTTTGGTTGTTACTTGTCAAACGCTTTCTTTAGGTCACTTAGGACACAGAAATGTGGTCTATTATACTCTAGTGATTTCTCAGAAATTTGCTTTATAACCAATATTGCATCTGTACACGATCTTCCACTACAAAAATCCTGTTGTTCATCTGCTAAACTTATCCTCTGATTTATTAGCACTTGTAAAATTTTAGTTGTAACTTTTAGCGTAGTATTTAATAAGTTTATAGCTCTGTAGTTTTCTGGTTGTTTTTATCTTCATTTTTGTATAGTAGAATTAGTTCGCACGTTCTCCATTCTTCCGGTATTTTATTGTGTTTTACAATTTTATTAATTAATGTTGTTAATTGTTCTTGTGTTAACTTCAAGAAGACAAAGTGGATGCTGATAAGCAAAAAGCACATCGAGCAATAAGACAAAAGAGGGAATGTAAAGGTAGTGGGGGTAAACATATTGATAGACAGGAAGTGCCATCTTGAGAGGCCACTTTAGACAAGGATAGACAGTCTCTTTCCTTGTTTAAGAAGTCAAATTTAGTTAGGTTATGTTATTGTTTGTCCCAACTGTCACATGAAATTTTATTTATATTGAAATCTTTTACCAATTGTGTCACTTTTTAGACTATTATAGTTAATATTTAATTAAAACTTTCTCGTCTGAAAAATATTTTATAGCTATTGTTAATAAGTGTTGGAAAATTTAAATTTAGCGCCTTTGCATTTCCGGATATGTCTGCCATCAGAGGCCACTTTTTTGGTCTCCTTTTCATAACGATTAGATTCCCTCTTTTATCTTTTTGCTCGATGAAAAAGCAACAGCCTGCTCGACAATTACGGATAAGTAACATACTAATTGACCATGTACAATCATATGTGTACCTTGGCGCCTACGTAAATGCAAAATGGGAACAGGCCACAGAAATTAAGGCGAGAATAGAACGAGCTAGAGCAGTATTTAGCAATATGAAGAAGCTCCTCATAAGCAAGGATTTGTCTCTTCCCCTAAAACAACGTCTAGTTAAATGCTACATTTTTCCGATCTTACTGTATGGTGTCGAGGCCTTTACGCTAACGGAGATGCTCACGAGAAAACTAGAAGTATTCGAAATGTGGGTGTACCGACGTATTCTTCGTATATCCTGGACCGAACATGTCACCAACATAGAGGTACTCCAAAGAATCGGAAAGGAATAAGACATCGTGCATAAAATTAAACAAAAAAAGCTTGAATATTTAAGCCACATATTGAGACACAATGAGTACCGTCTGCTACATTTGATTGTCCAGGGAAAAATAGACAGTAAGCGAGGGCCAGGCAGGAGAAGACACTCGTGGCTCCAAAATCTGCGGAAGTGGTTCGGGCTCTCATCGATCGAAGTATTCAGAAGCGCCGCAAATAAGATCAGAATTGCCATGTTAATAGCCAACGTTCGCAACGGACAGGGCACTTGAAGAAGAAGAATTGTTCTGTCATTGCTGCTCAACAATATTTCAGTAACTCGTTTGATATCCTGTCTTTAGGTGCTGCTTATCTGTTATTCAGGTTTTCAAGTATTGTCCGAACTTCCTGTACATTTATATTAAGTTCTTCATTTGTGGTAATTTCTAGTGTTTCCGGTTCTAGTGCCGTTTGTTCTTCCTCTGCATATAGCTTTTTTAGATAGTCAATCCACGTATTCCGTTTCTATGCGTTTTGATTCTATTAGTTCCGTTCTTTGACCTCTTTAACCTTTTAATCATAATAAACAATATTAAAATGCAACAAGAAAATAACTTGCGAATAATATAAAGTAAGTCCAAGCGACTGAATATGAAGGAAATGAAGAGAGAGCAGTAGAAGACCAGTCGAACCTAATAAGTAGAACCACGTTAACTGAAGAAAAATCGATGCTAAAAACTAAAGAAAGGAATCGATTGATTACGTACTTAAATGTAATAGTTTCATATGGTTTGGATTCAACATTTTGTAAAATATGTAAAGTTTAGATTATTTTAATTAGTATATCAATGACAACTGTAGAAACTGAGAGATGTTTATCTACTTTGAAATTGATTGTTTTTAAAGAAAACAATGTTGGAAGCAAGACTGACTGCGCTTGTAAGGTTGTCCACCGAAAAAATTTTGTTGGAGGAATTACTTTCAATGAGAATGTGATGGAAATGGACAGAAGGATTGAGTTTCATTTTAAGAAGTAGGCTTTTTGTAGCTACTTTTTTGTATTCTAGAGTCATAACCCTCTCAACATAATGATCATCAGCCGCCACTGATCCTTAACAATAACTAAAAAGAAATGGATAAATCTACGAGAGTGAACGAAACATTTACCTTCAATTTATTATTGCATAAACCGGCAACGTGGCCAAGCTACGTAAGCTAAAAAATTATCAAATTACAGTCCAACAAACGAAATATTTTTGCGTGATTTTATGATCTACGCCGCCCGGTACTGATACGGATGCAGCGCCCAGAAAATAAGGAAAACAATTACAACTTTTTTGGGTTTCAAACTTAAATTAATACTAACAAAATACAAGAAAAATTTTAACTGCGAACTTCAAAAGGTAAAATAAAATGTACCTAATAACATTCACACAGGTAACATGAGGTAGGTAATCACATACCTTTACTATTGAAAAGCTTGTTTGCTTGCTTTTACTGAAACGAAGTTTTCGATCATATCAGTTATATTTAATTCATTTAGCAGGTCCTCGTTAATGGATAAAATTGCTAAGAAGTTCAAATTTTCTTGGGAAATTGCATTTCTTGAGTAGGTCTTTACCCTTTTTAGTGTCGAAAGATAGCGTTAGCCACTTGTATTTGCTACCATTATGAAAAAAAAATACAAGGGCAAATATTAACGTTTGGAAACGAAGATATTAGTTATTTTTGTATAAAACCTGTACCAATTCTAAACGAGTGTCTATTTTTAATTGGAGAAGAGACGTTAATGTAATGCTTGAAATGATCACATTCTTGGGGAAAATACTTATTTAAATTCTCCTTGTATTTTTGTTCTAATTCGGTTGCCGATCTGAAAATATCTTTTCTTTCCGTAGTTTTTCTCCGACTTATGATTGTCTATTATAAAAACGTAGCATTCTATTGGCAATTTTTTTGCTTAAATTTACATCCGAATTATTTTCTCCTAATTGCAATTTTTTTGATAATCCTCTTCTTATCATAATTTTCGTTCCTTGTTAACAACACTAAGACCTCGTAGTGATCAA